GTGGTAAAAATGCTATCTTAATTGTTACAAAGTGATCATCTTAAGTGATAAAGTGTACATATAGATAGGATTGAGTGTTAAAGTGATCGTATACATAGGATCAAGTGCCTGGTAATAATAATAATAGATGGAATTAGAAAGGAGAGATTGTTCCAGCATAGGAAGTAGTCCACACAGCAGACTCATAGAATGACAATCACTTTACATAACACTCTGACCTCAGAATCATCCCTTAACTCTTCATAATCTGGCTGAAAAGCCTGTGAGAGCATTTCAGGCATGGAAAGCCAAGACACTATAACAAAAAATGTTCTACATGAAGGATCTCTGAGTGAGACCCCAGCAGAAAGAAGTGGCCATCAAAGAAGGATGTACTTTTCTCTAAAGAGAGGCAAGAACTTCCACTTTGCTTATGGCCTTGTCCAAATACTGATGGAGTTTGTGGACTCAAAAAGTGTCCATAGCCTAGGCAACTCATTTCAAGAGCCTTGGGTGGTCACTGATGTCATATGTAAGATTGTTAATTATTAAATTAACAACAGGAGTCACTGTGAACTAACTCCCCATGCAGGACCTCTGTCCTCAATGAGTTTTATTATTTAGAGTTTACTATAAAACCAATTCTCAGATATTTTATGTGTGTGTGTGTACACTTTGTATAGAGTTGGTCTTCTCTGTACAAAGTTATTTGAAAATGATTTTTAATGAAGAATGGGACTGGCAAGAGGAGAGGGATGAAGGAGGAGGGGCGGTATGGTGGGAAGAATAACTTTATTCCTAAAGTTGTACTTATGAAATTTGTACTCCTTAAAAATAAATTTAAAAAATCCATTAACAGAAAAACAACAATAAAACGAACATAATATCACAAAGAGCATGTGGGAAGGAGGCAGTTAGCTTGGAGCTATGGGTTTGTGTACTGTGAGAGCACCTCTCCATAGCACTACAATTATTGTTTCATTAGGAGTGACAATGACAAGGCACAGTAGGACAATTGTTATTTTAGAAAAGCATTGGTCAAATGACCAATTATCAAGAACAATTAAACTTTTACAGAGCAGCTCCAGAGATATCTGTTTTCCCATGATCCATGGATATAATTGGCTTATGTGGAAAGTAGAAATGGCTGAGGTACAAAGCATAAGTGACTGACATAAAAACATGTTTCTTACTGGAAAAAAAATACAAAAGATCACCAAATCAAAATTTTGGGATTTTTTTTGAGAAGATAAACAAAACAGACATCTAGCCAGACTAACAAAGAAAAAAAGAGAAAAAACTGAAAGAGATAAAAAAGGAGACATTACAACCAATAGCACTGAAATACAAAAGGTCATAAGAAACTACAATGAAGAACTATGTGCTAATAAACTGTAAAACCTCAAAGAAATGGATAAATTCCTGATTCATATAACCTTCCAAGGTTAAATCAAGAAGATATAGTTTAACCAAATAGACCCATAACAAGCAATGAGACTGAAGCTATAATCAAAATATTCCATCAAGGGAAAGTCTGGGGCCTAATGGCTTTACTATTGAATTCTGTAAAACATTCACAGAGGAAGTAACTCCAGTACTGTTCAAGCTGTTCCAAAATATTGAACAGAATATAACTCTGCCAAACTATTTTAAAGAGGCCAGCATTATTTTGGTACCAAAACCAAACAAAGACATAAAATGAAAAAACTGCAGACCTGTATCATTAATGAGCAGAGATGTAAAGATTCTGAACAACATACTAGCAAATCCAATCAGAACCTCATAAAAAAGATCATATATCATAAACAATTGAGATTTATCCCAGAAATGCAAAGGTGGTTCAACATTCTCAAATCAGTAAGTATGATAATTACACCAATAGAATGAAGAAAAAACACATACGATTATCTCAATAGATGCAGAGAAATCCCTTGATAATATTCAACAAACCTTCATGATAAATACCTTCCACAAATTAAGTATAGAAGGAACATTCCTCAAAATTAGAATTAAATATATTTTTATTAAAAAGCCAATGTGTAGAAGTTACTTGAGAAGAAAATCAGTTGTTTCAGAAAAGAATTATAACCAGGATTTATAGTAGTAAAGGACATTTAATAATTCAGGTGGGATTCATGATTAATTTTAAAGATGAGATAGATTTACCATGAAATGGCTCAGAGGACACTTGAGAAAAGAAGAGCTAGGGATGAGTTGCATATATGTTTGCATGTGTGTGTATGTCTGTGTGTGTATATGCTTCTGTGTATATCTTTGGGTGCTTGTATGCATATATGTTTGCTTGTATATGTCTGTGTTTATGCCTGTATGTGCGTTCATGTGTATGTGTGTGTATGTATGTGCATGCATGTATGTATATATGTTTATATATGTTTATATGTATGAATTTGGGTATGTGCATATGTTTGTGTGTATATGTCTATGTATATCGCTGGGTTTAGATATTGTGTATATGTTTATGTGTCTTTGTGTGTTTATGTATAAATGTATGTATATGTCTGTGTATATCTCTATTTATGTGTGGATGTGGTGAAGGGCAGGTTATAATTAGTAGTCATGTTGGGAGGGGAGTGCTGAAATACATGTAAATATATTTGAATAGATGAAGGGGGCTGTCACTTATAAAGTTCATACAATATAATGTCCTTCATAAATTATTCATATCATTGTTAACCAAAATCCTGTGAAGTAGGTAGCACTATTTTCACCACCACTTGACAGATTGGGATGCTGGGACTTACTACCTTTGTTCACATAGCCAATTAATAATGGAGCCACAATTTGTGCCTAGAAAGCTTGACTGCTGAGTCTAGTCTACTTCTACAGCAGAATCAGGCCACATATTTCATATTGTTAATTATAAGAAACATGAATTCTGATTTTGTGACTTAATGTGGCAGAAGGCCTTTATTGTTCCCTGAGTGACATTGTGAAAGTGACATCTAAGGATAGGTAACCTATCAGAGACACTGAGTGAATTGGGATGAGGTCATGAAATCAGGAGAAATAATGGGGTAAAAATGAAGACAAGTCAATGATAAAACTTGTCACCACTTCCTTACTTCATTCTGCATTTTTTTTTTTTTTTTGGCTCTACTACTGACAGGTGTTTGGGTATAATAAAAGTCAAAAAGCATAGCCTACTCTCCCCGAACCTTGCCATTTCCTCCTTGAGAGCTTGATTTACTTGAAGGATCTAGACCAGAGCCCATTTGTGGGAATTCTTTTAGAGGTTTGTCTGTCTGTGAAGCCATTTTGCGAGCCAGGGAAGAAAATGAATTATATCCTAGAAATCCAGATTGGATGTAATTTGTTTAATCATGTGACATACTCACCTGAAGTCTCACTTGGCCTGACTGTACCTCAGAAATTGTCATCATTTTTATTAACACACACCATGACCGTGAACATGTTTACTGTCTGCTGAGTATGGCACCATTATCTGACTTTCTGTTTTATCATTGAATTACATGTTGACTGTTAACTAAATTCCACTACATCAGTGGTCACTTTTTATTGATTCATACTTTTAATTCATTTCAAAGATTCTAATGTACTGTGACATTGCTAGTTCCATAAATCAGCTAAATATATTTAGAAATGTGCAAGCATCAGTAAAATTTTTCTTTTGAATTCATCACATAGAAATGACTTATAAACTCCCTAGTCTATCCAATAGAAAAGTATATTCTTTTAAAAAGGGGGAAGTAAATGAAGTATATAAATGGAACAGTCCCAGAGCCGGCGCCGTGGCTCAATAGGCTAATCCTCCACCTTGCGGCGCCGGCACACCGGGTTCTAGTCCCGGTTGGGGCGCCGGATTCTGTCCCGGTCGCCCCTCTTCCAGGCCAGCTCTCTGCTATGGCCAGGGAGTGCAGTGGAGGATGGCCCAGGTGCTTGGGCCCTGCACCCCATGGGAGACCAGGAAAAGCACCTGGCTCCTGGCTCCTGCCAGGATCAGCGCGGTGCGCCGGCTGCAGCGGCGGCCATTGGAGGGTGAACCAACGGCAAAGGAAGACCTTTCTCTCTCTGTCTCTCTCTCTCACTGTCCACTCTGCCTGTCAAAAAAAAAAAAAAAAAAAAAAAAAAAAAGGAACAGTCCCAGAAATTTTCTATGAGAACTATAACAAAATAAACATGCCTTGATTTATAGTCAGATCTTAAAACTCAATGAGCAGTATTATTGCCAAGAGTAATTTAATTATTCAGATTTTGACCATATGGAATATAGTTATAGTAACAGATTTAATGTCTTTACTAATACCATAATGTATGCAATTTTGGAAGCTATTTCTATTGATTGATTTTCTTGCTTCATAATAGGTTATGTTTTCCTACTTCCTTGTCTATCTGTAACATTAGATTGAATACTAGATGTGAATTTTACCTTATGCAGTGCTGATATTTTTTCTCTGAAAAATTATTGTGTCTTGTTCTGACTTGCAGTTGGGTTATTTGAGAACAATTTGGTCCTTTAAGGTGTCTCTTTGAAGCTTTGTGAGGCAAGACCAGGAGCATTTAAATGCAAAGTTAAGTATTCCTCACTGACACAGCAGTATGCTTGCAAATACTCTGCCTGATGTCTTCTGTATTATGAGGTATTTTTCCTATCCCAGCTGGTGGGAATATGCACTGTGTACAGACAGCCCTGTGTGAGCCCTAGTAATTGTCCTTCCTGCTCCTGTCTGGTGGCACTTTCCCTGACTCAGGTGGTTACCGCCCACACAGATACTCACCTGTACCCAGGTGACACCTTCTGCCAATCTCTGAATGTCTTTCTCTTCCTATGCAACTCTTGTCTCCAGGCACTCCTCACCTCTCTGTGTCACTCTCTTTTATCCACCATTTTGCCCTAAAAATTCTCTCCATCTCTGCCTCCTTGAATTTTCCATTCCATTTCTCTGGCGTGGGAAGACCATTAGCCTCCTGGCATCAGGACTTGGAGGCACTGAGGTAGTAGACTGGGGGAAGTCCTAGGGCTCACTTAGCTTGTTTCTCACCTTTTGGAGATCAGTTTCTTGCATTGTCTGTTGTCTGATGCACAAAAACTGTTTGTCATAGTTGGTCTCAGTTTTTTAGTTGCATAATGATAGAGGAAGGTTAGTCCTGATTACCTGTCTCGGTTGGAAGTAAAAGTCCAATTATTCAGATTTTATGTATGTCAAAAAAGAAAATAAAAAAATGAAAACTTTTACTGCTTACCATAAATTGTGAGAGACTTGTAAATTGAATCTGGAATCATTTAGAAGATGTTCTGCAAGCCTTGTGAACAGACCCTGGATCTCTTCCAGAAACTCACTCTGTCTCTTCACAGCAAAATTGATACGCTAAAATTCTGTTGTCCTACACATCAAATTTTTATAAGGAGGGATGCACCATAAAAAGAATTTCAAGATCAGTTGTGAGAGCCTATAAGCCACATTTGAGACCAAAATAGTGATTATATGTATATTTATGTATGTATGGAGACCTTCGTGTTTCAATTTGATTGGTGTTATAACCAAACACTGTCAATAAAATGTTTGGATGTAAGTAATGAGTGTCATGATTGATTGTAGTTTTGGTTATGTTTGATATATCTTGTTTTGTATCTTCTGTTCAGAATCTTCCTAAGCTCTCAATTCTTTACTGATATCCCCTGGCCTCGTATGTCAGGTATACTTTTAATTAAACTTGGCTAGCATGCTTAGGGCTACTTTCTGTCTCACGTATGAATTTGGTCTTGTAGTTGTGAAGTCCAGTAGTGTATTTGGTAGAACCAGCCAGGAGAGAATGAGAGCAGCGGTGTGGGCAGAGCAACCTCATTCTGAAGAATGCTGCATGTCCAGACTTCTACATTTTCTCCTGTTTGTGTAGTGGTAACTCAGTTCTCTTTGCCAGTATTCCATGGAGACAGAGCCTTGCCCACTTTCCTTTGAACTGGCCACCTTGACCTTTCCCTGCTGACCTTTTGTTTTTTCAGCCAAGCTGTCTGACTGCGCTCACACAGGAGGAGAATCTTACAAGATTCCGAGGACAATTGACTGTCTTTCAAATTCCCTACCTAGACCCCCTTGGCCCTCTCTGCCTTGTCTGACCTTCCTAGTGTCTGTTCACTATCCCCACTCCTTCCTTTCAAGTGTCTGGAAGTGAGAGGAATGTTACTGCTGTCCAGCCAAGGCCCTATGTCAGTTTGGCCTCCCTACTTAAGAACAACACATGCCTCATTCTCCTTATCTCTTTTGCCACCAATTTGAAGAAAAAAAAAAAGCATGGTCACATATTAGTCATAATGTGAGAGGGTAGCTCTAAGTTTAAAATTTTCCCGCAGATCACAGCCTGCCCAGGTGGTTATAGGTTATCTTGCTTGGTTGCTTCAGAGCAGGACTGTTCCTCTGAGAGAAACAAGTTATAGATATCAGTCTGCTCATCCGGCTGTAACCAGCATATTTCTGGCTTCTGAATGTCTGCTTGCTTGCTTGATAATGGCCAAGGCCACCCAAATGTAGTTTCTGCCTTTAAACTCCCTCCCTCCCCACTACAGCTTTGGGCTGTCTTCTGCAGACTCACTCTATGAGAGGGCAGTTGCCAGCTGGCTAATAAAGACTCCTAATTTGACCTCAAAAGTCCCACAAATAACATGTTTTTTTTTTTAACTTTTATTTAATGAATATAAATTTCCAAAGTACGATTTATGGATTACAATGGCTTTCCCCCCCATACCGTCCCTCCCAGCCACAACCCTCCCCTTTCCCACTCCCTCTCCCCTTCCATTCACATCAAGATTCATTTTCGATTATCTTAATATACAGAAGATCAGCTTAGTATACATTAAGTAACGATTTCAACAGTTTGCTCCCACACAGAAACATAAAGTGAAAAATAATAGATGATTTTTTTAAATGATGATGAAATCAGATCAGACCTATTGTCATGTTTAATCCCAGTGAGAGTCAAGTTGGGAGTTGATAATTTTTTTTTTTTTTTACAGAGGATCAGTTTAGTATGCATTAAGTAAAGATTTCAACAGTTTGCACCCCCATAGAAACACAAAGTGAAATATATTGTTTGAGTACTCGTTATAGCATTAAATCTCAATGCACAGCACATTAAGGACAGAGATCCTACATGAGGAGTAAGTGCACAGTGACTCCTGTTGTTGACTTTACAAATTGACACTCCTGTTTATGGCATCAGTAATCTCCCTATGTACCAGTCATGAGTTTCCAAGGCTATGGAAGCCCTCTGAGTTCTCCGATTCTTATCTTGTTTAGACAAGGTCATAGTCAAAGTGGAGGTTCTCTCCTCCCTTCAGAGAAAGGTACCTCCTTCTTTGATGACCCGTTCTTTCCACTGGGATCTCACTCACAGAGATCTTTTGCCAGAGTGTCTTGGCTTTCCATGCCTGAAATACTCTCATGGGCTTTTCAGCCAGATCGGAATGCCTTTAGGGCTGATTCTGAGGCCAGAGTGCTATTTAGGACATCTGCCATTCTATGAGTCTGCTGAGTATCTCACTTCCCATGTTGGATCACTCTCCCCTTTATTTATTCTATCGGTTAGTGTTAGCAGGTACTAGACTTGTTTATGTGCTCCCTTTGACTCTTAGTCCTTTCATTATGATCAATTGTGAACTGAAATTGATCACTTGGAATAGTGAGCTGGCATTGGTACATGCCACCTTGATGGGATTGAATTGGAATCCCCTGGTATGTTTCTAACTCTACCAATTGGGGCAAGTCAGCTTGAGCATGTCCCAAATTATACATCTCTTCCCTCTCTTATTCTCACTCTTATGTTTAACAGGGATCACATTTCAGTTAATTTTCAACACTTAAGAATAACTGTGTATTAATTACAGAATTAAACCAGTCATATTAAGTAGAACAGACAAAAAAACTACTAAGAGGGATAATGTATTAAGTTGTTCATTAACAGTCAGGGCTATGCTGATCAAGTCACCGTTTCCTATAGTGTCCATTTCACTTCAACAGGTTTCCTTTTTGGTGTTCAGTCAGTTGTCACCGATCAGGCAGAACATATATTTGTCCCTTTGGGACTGGCTTATTTCACTCAGCATGATGTGTTCCAGATTCCTCCATTTTGTTGCAAATGACTGGATTTTGTTGTTTCTTACTGCGGTATAGTATTCTAAAGAGTACATATCCCATAATTTCTTTATCCAGTCTACCGTTGATGGGCATTTAGGTTGGTTCCAGGTCTTAGCTATTGTGAATTGAGCTGCAATAAACATTAGGGTGCAGACCGCTTTTTTGTTTATCAATTTAAATTCCTTTGGGTAAATTCCAAGGAGTGGGATGGCTGGGTCGAACGGTAGGGTTATCTTCTGGTTTCTGAGGAATCTCCAGACTGACTTCCATAGTGGCTTGACCAGTTTGCATTCCCACCAACAGTGGGTTAGTGTCCCTTTTTCCCCACATCCTCTCCAGCATCTGTTGTTGGTAGATTTCTGCATGTGAGCCATTCTAACCGGGGTGAGGTGAAACCTCATTGTGGTTTTGATTTGCATTTCCCTAATTGCTAGCGACCTTGAACATTTTTTCATGTGCCTGTTGGCCATTTGGATTTCCTCTTTTGAAAAATGTCTATTGAGGTCCTTGGCCCATCTCTTAAGTGGGTTGTTGGTTTTGTTTTTGTGGAGTTTCTTGATCTCTTTGTAGATTCTGGTTATTAACCCTTTATCAGTTGCATAGTTTGCAAATATTTTTTCCCATTCTGTCGGTTGTCTCTTCACTCTCCTGACTGTTTCTTTTGCAGTAAGTCAGAGTTACACAGAGAGAAGGAGAGGCAGAGAGACAGACAGACAGACAGACAGACAAACAGGTAGGTCTTCTATCAGCTTATTCACTCCCAAAATGGCTGCAATGGCCAGAGCTGTGCCAAACCGAGCCAGGAGCCAGGAGCCTCCTCCGGGTCTCCCATGCAGGTGCAGGGGCCCCAGGACTTGGGCCATCTTCTGCTGCTTTGCCAGGCAATATCAGAGAGCTGGAAAGGAAGTGGAGCAGCCAGGACCTGAACTGGTGCCCACATGGGATGCTGGCACTGCAGGCTTTGCCCACTACGCCATGAGCACAGGCCCCACGTGATTTATTTTTATTTATTTATTTTTATTATTATTTTTTGACAGGCAGAGTTAGACAGTGAGAGAGAAAGAGAGAAAGGTCTTCCTTTTTTCCGTTGGTTCACCCCCCAAGTGGCCGCTAGGGCCGGTGCGTTGCAGCCGGCGCACTGCGCCCATCTGAAGCCAGGAGCCAGGTGCTTCCTCCTGGTCTCCCATGCGGGTGTAGGGCCCAAGCACTTGGGCCATCCTCCACTGTCTTCCTGGACCACAGCAGAGAGCTGGACTGGAAGAGGAGCAACCAGGACAGAATCCGGCACCCAAACTGGGACTAGAACCCGGGGTGCCGGCACCGCAGGCGGAGGTTTAGCCTAGTGAGCCGCAGCGCTGGCCAACATGATTTATTTTTAAACCACGGTTTTTACCACTGACCAGACCCCTGACAGGGCTATGTTTTCCAGCGTGCTCTGAAGTTTATTAACAGTGACTCTTCTGTTTTCTTGTGAGTCTTCCCATTTTCTTGCTCACTAAATTATGGAAGCTTCTCTGCCTATTAAGACCCCTCTCTTATAGATTGGGGCCAATAAATGCCTTTTTTTTTTAACTCAGAGAACTCTCCAATTGCACTGCCCTCCATTGTAGGCACTGAGGCCTGAAAGGATAAAACAGCCTGTGAAAGACTACTATACTTCTTAAAATGCTGTAAATTGCTCAGTTGTTATCTTCATCATCTATTTTAAGTCATTTTGTTATCCAGTTATGATTCTTTGAAAATATTTCTGATTATATTCATGGATCTATGTATTTTAACAAAACATTGTTTCTTCTATACCTTGATGTTTTGTCTTCTAGGTTTAAAGATTTTCCTGGGATATCTAGTGTTCTCAACACTTTGGTGAAGTATAATTGTATAACAATCATTTACTTGTATTCTACTTGGTTCTTCCAAGATTCAAAAACTGCTTATGTATCTATGGGTTAAAATTCTGTATGTTCTTTTAGAATATGTTTTTGTCTTAATTTAGAGGTATTAGAGGATGGTTTCAGGATGTGAATTGAAGGTAATAGTAGATGGGAAAGAAAGAAAGAAAGATGTGGAGGAAACTGTAAGCATGCGAATGTATTCAGTGATTAAAGTTAATAAGTAATTTTTTTTTTGACAGGCAGAGTGGACAGTGAGAGAGGGAGACAGAGAGAAAGGTCTTCCTTTGCCGTTGGTTCACTCTCCAATGGCCGCCGCGGCTGGCACGCTGCGGCCAGCGCACTGCGCCTATCCGAAGGCAGG